AAGCCAGTCTGCAGCCTATTACCCGAACGGTGCTGCGTATCAAGGTGGACATTTGGCCCAGCTTCACATGGAACGACCGAGTTCATGGAAAAACGAGCCAAAGCTTCTGGCTGTGGATTGAAGATCCAGAGTCAAACTACATTTACCACTCGGAGCTGTTTCAGGTCACCCGGAAGTTGGTGATGAGTGGCCAGTCGCAGCAGCTGGTGATGACCATTCCCCTGAAGGAGCCACTGCCACCACAATACTACATTAGAGTAAGCAGCGATAGCTGGCTTGGAAGTACTACATGTATTCCATTATCATTTCAACATCTGGTGCTGCCGGAACACCACCCGCCGCTAACGGAGCTTCTGCCCCTCCGCCCACTCCCTGTCAACTGCCTCAAGAACGTTCTTTACGAATCGCTGTACAAGTTCACGCACTTTAATCCAATCCAAACGCAGATCTTTCACTGCCTATACCACACCGACCACAATGTGCTCTTAGGCGCTCCCACTGGCAGTGGTAAGACCATCGTGGCGGAGATAGCCATCTTCAGGGCACTTAACCAGAATCCCAAGTGCAAAGTGGTGTATATTGCTCCACTCAAAGCGTTGGTAAAGGAGCGCATAGGCGATTGGGAGCAGCGCTTCCAGCGCTCCTCTCTGGGTCTCAAGGTTGTTGAGTTAACTGGCGACGTCACTCCCGACATCCAGGCCATCCGCGAGTCACAACTTATAGTTACCACCCCGGAGAAGTGGGACGGCATCAGTCGCTCTTGGCAGACCCGCGAGTACGTGCAGCATGTGTCCCTGATCGTCATCGATGAGATCCACCTGCTGGGAGAGGACCGCGGACCGGTCATCGAGGTGATTGTATCGCGTACAAACTTTATCAGTTCCCATACCGGTCGAGCGATTCGAATTGTGGGATTGTCCACCGCATTGGCCAACGCTCAAGATCTGGCCAACTGGCTGGGAATCAAAACGATGGGACTGTACAACTTCAAGCCCTCGGTGCGTCCAGTGCCTCTCCAGGTGCACATCAACGGCTTCCCAGGAAAGCACTACTGTCCTCGCATGGCAACAATGAACCGGCCCACGTTCCAGGCTATTCGCACCTACTCCCCGTGCGAGCCAACCATCGTCTTTGTCTCCTCGCGCCGGCAGACGCGTCTCACTGCTCTGGACCTGATTACCTTCGTGGCCGGCGACTCCAATCCCAAGCAGTTCCTGCACATCGCCGAGAACGAAATGGAGCTGATTCTGCAGAATATTCGAGACCAGAACCTTAAATTCTGCCTAGCTTTTGGCATTGGTCTACATCACGCCGGCTTGCAGGAACAGGATCGCAAGTGTGTTGAGGAGCTGTTCCTGAATAGGAAGATCCAGGTCCTGGTGGCCACAGCCACACTGGCATGGGGAGTTAACCTGCCAGCTCATCTGGTGGTGATCAAGGGTACCGAATACTTTGACGGGAAGGTGAAGAAGTACGTGGACATGCCCATTACTGATGTGCTGCAGATGATGGGACGAGCCGGGCGGCCGCAGTTCGACAATGAAGGTGTGGCCGTCGTTCTGGTCCACGACGAAAAGAAGAATTTCTACAAGAAGTTCTTGTACGATCCATTCCCCGTAGAGTCCAGTCTGCTGGGAGTACTACCGGAGCACATAAACGCGGAAATCGTTGCCGGAACTGTTCAGTCAAAGCAGGCCGCTCTGGACTATCTTACGTGGACTTACTTCTTCAGGCGACTACTCCGAAACCCGTCGTACTACCAGCTACAGGGCGTAGAACCCGAGAATGTTAATGCCTTTATGTCCAACCTGGTCGAGCGCGTGGTCTATGAACTTTCTGCTGCTGCCTGTCTGGTGGAGCGGGACGGATGTCTGGTGCCAACCTTCTTGGGGCGAATCAGTTCCTATTACTACCTGTCGTACCGCACAATGAAGCATTTTCTGGAGGATCTGCAGCCGGGCATGAGCACCAAGGAAGTTCTTCTCGCCATCGCCGATTCATACGAATTTGATCAGCAACCTGTCCGGCACAACGAGGACAAGTACAACGAGCAGATGGCTGAAGTGAGTCGCTTTAGACCGCCGTCATCGTCCTGGGACTCCCCATACACCAAGACGTTCCTGCTACTCCAGGCCCACTTTACGCGGCAGTCCCTTCCGAATTCGGATTACCTAACAGACACCAAGTCGGCTCTGGACAACGCCACTCGAGTGATGCAAGCCATGGTGGACTATACAGCGGAGCGCGGTTGGTTGTCAACCACTCTGGTTGTGCAGCAACTAATGCAGAGCGTCATTCAAGCCCGCTGGTTCGACGGCAGTGAGTTCCTAACGTTGCCAGGAGTGAACGCAGACAATCTCGATGCCTTTTTGAGCATACCACACGATGAGCACGACTATTTGACGCTGCCCGTGCTGAAGGAGCTGTGCAAACAAGAGTACGAAGTACTGGCGAAGCCTCTGCGAGATTCCTTCGAGGAGCACGAGATTGAACAGATGTATAAGGTACGCTTCGTATTTCCAAATTTCTGAACGATTTATAAGCAGCACTTTACGCATTTCCAGGTAATCCAAGACTTGCCCGAGATAGCACTTCAAATAGCCGTAGAGGGTCGGTATATGGAGAACGAGTATGCCAAGCGACCGCTCTCACTTTCTGATGACACGAGGAGCGAATGGTTGCCCCTACATGCCAATGAGGACTACGTGCTCGTAGTAAACTTACAGCGCCTTAATGTCAGTGGACAGAGAAGAGGTGGTGGACAAAGCTACACGGTGCACTGCCCCAAGTATCCAAAGCCCAAGAACGAAGCGTGGTTCCTAACCCTGGGCTCCCAAGCCAATGACGAGCTCCTAGCCATGAAGCGGACTTCCATTCGCGGACAGCGCTGCTCCAACCGCATTTCGTTCCAGGCAACTCCCCGACTTGGACGTCTACAGCTCACGCTTTATTTCATGTCCGACTGCCTCATGGGCTTTGACCAGCAGTACGACCTGCGCTTCGAGATCATCGATGCAAAAGACGTCTAAAGTCCTCTTAGGAGATTAAATCTAACGTATACCGTAGCATTCTGTAGAGTTGAGGCTTACCTTTTAGTTAATGGAGTTCATATGGCCTATGAACGTTTTCCACAATCACTGTTATCACCTAGAGCTTGTAGTAAAACTGAACTTGCGTATTTATTGTGTGATTCCCCAAAACATGTATAACATTTTTATCATTAGTAACTTGCTTCGCGACGAAGCTCCATTGTTAACCGACCATGTAGAACCTACCTACATGAATCCTTTTCTATGAATTTATGAAGTAACTATTTTTATTGAGTAAAGTGAATAAACTTTGTACTGAAAGCGCAGAAAGGTTTTTAAATTCCACCACAAAATGGACTCGAATCTTCGACATGATCATTTTTAATTTCTCAATACATACATTGGCATACCTATTGACATGTTAACTACATTTACTCTACAAGGCACAGTGGCGACACCTGACGTTCACTTGCCTTTCAAAGAAGTGAATCAAAATGCATGTTAAAAAGAAATAGTACCAAGCGACAGGATTAAAATAGCTTTTAATAAATAACTCTTAATTGATTTATTAACTTTGAATTTGGGAGTTAAGCTATGAAAATAAGGAGAGTAACGCGAGAAAGTAAGCCAAGAAAGTTAGGAACGAAAAGAGTCGACAACATGAAGAGGTTAAACAGTTTAAGCCCGGTGAGGCTAAATATGTACTTGAATCATTAGTTCCCAAGTCCGAGCAAGGCGTTTTAAACTGTTCCAATATACCAGCTGCGAACATTATTCGCTGCGAAAATATGTAAACGACCCACCTCATCCGAATGTATTGTTTACGTGAGGCGTCTTTTAATGGCGGGTTTTATCTGAGTCCTGCCCATTTCTGGAGGCTCCTACACTCCAACGTTCCTGCCCTCCTGCCCCACACATGGGGCTGAGAAATGAAAGCATATTCAAGTGATTAATGCAGATGGCCACCACATCGGGCGAATGCGGATCCGCTGGTCCCCGGGGAGTCCCCGACTAGGATAAGGAGCTGGCCTCCTCCCACAGCAGTCGAGTAATTAAACTTGATTAATTGTCTAGTCAGCATGAAGGTAAAAATCGGCGTAGCCAAGATAAACGAAACGGAAATGGAAATTAATTAATATGAGGCTAAGTAAAACAAAAAGAAATAATGAACAAGTTCGCTTTGGCAATAAACAAAGGAACATTCAATGATCCAATCGATGGGCTCGAGTGCCATGTTGGTTCCCCAAATATCCACAATATCCAATTTAATTTCCACCTGCACACTTTTTACATTCCTCTGTGCAGTGCTCCCATCCCACCTTGGAATCGGCAATGTCGAAATTCCATAATCAGAAAACAAATAAATAAACAGCTGGAAAACTTTTCAGAAACTTTTGCACCTTGTGCACATAAAGGGTTTCATTTTGTCTTGGCACGCCAACTTTTCAGCCAAATCAGCGATTTCGCAAAGTGGAATTTATTTAATTTGCATTCGGATTTAGGTGTTAAGTAGGGCTTTTTTAATGCAGATGAAGCTAGAAATTGTATTGAATTTGTTTAAAACGAATCTAAAGTTCCAAGCCGCCAAGTTTGAAAGATTTTATAACTTTGCACAGCACTGGTTCTTTCGACAACTTCGTTTTGCAACACAACGTGAGTTGTCAAAAGTAGAATTATAGTTTATTTTCTGATTGTTGGCCAAAGCTAACCTGTTTCTAATCTGAACTAAAACTAATCCTCAACCACACTCTGAAAAACTTGAAAGCTAAGTTTCAGTACCTGCACAAATTTTAGCATTTGGAAAGTGCTGCAAAGTACCCCGAATTTTAAGTCACATCCCAATATTGTAATTTGCCAATTTTCTATAGTAACTTTTCTGAATTGGATCCCATTCCGTGGAAAGCATTGGACTGACCTCAGTCACTTACGCCTTTGTTCCTACTGAAGAGTCGCATCTATAGCGTAGAGACAATGTCCACCCAGGGATCCACCAACCAGACGCTGAGCTGGGGATACGTCGGCTCCGAGACATTCCAGACCGGAAGCCCAGTGCCGCCTCCCATCAGTTTTCCTTATAGTCAGGATCAGACGAACCTGATTCTCAACTACCTGCCGCAGGACATGACGGAGTCGGAGGTGCGCCGTCTCTTCTCCAAGTTCGGGGAGATCCGCAAGGCCAAAATCATTCGCCACCGCTTGACTGGCATTAGCTGCTGCTACGGATTCGTGGACTACGTGTCAGCCCGCCAGGCGGCTGCTGCCCAGAGCAGCATGGATGGCTACGAGACTCGCGGCAAGCGGCTGAAGGTGGCCTTCGCCCGACCTTCCGAGGACCAGAGCAGGAACTCCAACCTATACGTGGCCAACCTGCCGACGCACCTGGACGAGAGGAAGGTGCGAGAGCTCTTCGCCGTCTACGGCATCGTCTTGGATGTGAACTTGCTGCGCCACAAGTTCAACCGAACTTCCCGCGGAGTGGCCTTCGTGCACTTCAAGCACTGGCGGGACGCCGAGATGGCCAAGTACGGCATGGATCGGCACATGATCGAGGGCGCCTTCCGGCCCCTGGCGGTCAAGTTTGTGGATCGCCCGCCCAAGGACTCGCCAGCTCGAGGAACGGGTCCTACCCACAATGGCCTCCACTTTAAGCTCCGGGGCAAAGCTTTCCCATCAACCTCCAAGCGCCGCCAGGAGCGGGACGATCACCCTGAGTCCAAGCGTTCTCGCGACTCCGACTAACTATTGCGCGTATTTTGCAGTGCCTATCTTTTGTCAGAACTAGTTTAGTTTTATTTTTTAATTGAATTGAGAACGAGTAATATATAACGAGATCATATTATTATAAAGCCTTTGGGAAAGGGAGATGCCATTTGAGCTTATACCCACCTTCCTTTAGGTAGTCCGGTCCAATTAATTTCGGTCTTAACGCATTCATGTAGTTATGCATTTGGCTGCCCTCTGTTTTTGGCCTTACATAAATAATTCATTATATTGCCGCAGGAGCTTGGCTTATCGTTCGCAAACAAGCCACTCCTACGGACGTCGGATCGTCGGATCCTCGGCTCCTCGGCTCCTAAAAAACATTAACAGCTTTATCAGTCGCCTGGTACCCTCAATTTGCCCAGGGCCTCCAGTTGGCCAAAAAAGGTGCGGAGCATCCGATTCCGATTCCGATTCCGTTTCGGTTTTTGATTTCGATTGCGGGGTGCATGCAAAGGATTCGCGAGTCAAATAAATAATGAAAACAAAGGGCGCATAAATATTTGAAGATCGCAAGCCGAATGAACCGAAACGGCTTACGAAAGTAGGTGGGAAACAAGTGAATTGAAAATTATTTCCAATTCGTTTGCTTTTCTCATTATAATTGAGGCGCAAAGTTGCCCCTGCAACTGGGAATCGGAATCGGAATCGGCATCTCCTCCGGTTCCTCGGCCTGTTTCCCCTTCGACTGCTCTTGTTTCAGCCTCTGGTCCCAGTTCAGATTTAACTCAAAGATTTTGCTCACTCTCCTCTGCTTTACAAGGAGCCTCCTGTTCCACTGTGGCATCCACTTTTGAAGGTCGGGGCTTAAACGGAGTTACATAAGGTTGGGTTGAGGAATATAATCAGGGGGAATGGTCGGGCACTAAACATATCGCTGGGTTTTTACCAATAATTTCACAGTATTAAACAGATTGTTAGGACTTGCAATTTTTGTTGCCCTGTTAAATTAACTTGCTTCTGAACTTCCTATGTTTAATTCAAAGAGGCAGGTGAAGGGTCACAACTAGAAATTGTGCATAATTATTGAAATTTCATGAAAAAGCAGTAGTTTGCCAAACGTCAGGAGGCAAAGTTAAAAAAATCAGTGTTGTATGAAGTTAGCATGTACGTTAGCTAAAAAACAAATCATAATGAAACCCGAAAATGAGAACAATTGGGTTTCAGCTTCATCTTGTGTGGGAAATGCAAATCAAATTTTCACATCCCTTTTGCTTACAGTTTTCATTTCGTCTTTCTTGGAACAGTTGCGTCCGGAAAAAATGAGGAGTCGTACAAGAAAAGAAGGGCTGCAGCCTCTTGATAAGCAGATTATACGCTTTTCATCATTTTCATTCTTTTCTTCACTCGGCGTTCTGGCTACGAGTGTTTTGGGCATTTTCCTTTTAGCTTCGTGTATTGTTTTATTGACATTTGTGGCATATTGCGTTCAACAGAAGTTAAATTTACTTTCGGCAGTCATAGGATGAAGCTTTAATTTGGCAGACTTCTGCTGCAGAATTTTATTTTTATTTTATTCCAGAATTTTCCCGCAGTGACTCCGACTCATTTGTCTTGCTTTGTCCGCGAGCATTAGGAAAACAGACTGCCCGCAAATTGGCAGGGGAAGGAAAAGCGGCGGAGGCTAAAAAGCTTGTCAACCAAGCCGCCCACAAGCGTCACGTCAGGATAATTAAGAAATTTTTCAGTTCCCGCCTCTGGACCCCACTTTCCTGGCCCTCGTTGGGTCCTTTGGTGGTGCGACTTTCGCTATCGAAGTAAATGGAAATTGATTGAATTCCATTAGGCCAGCATAGGCAGCAGGCGAAATCGAACCGCACCGAACGGCTGCCTTTCAAATTAGGCAAAAACTAATGAGCTATGCACATGACCATCGACAGCAGGCATTAAAAGTTGTCCAGCTTCCGAATATCATTTGCGTGGGGAAGGACTTCCGCCTCCCCAAGGAGCACATTGAGCCATCAGCGTAATTCCGAGGGAGTTTCTTCGGCCTGGGGTGGAGTTTGACCGTTGCAGGTCCGGTAATGGATGGCCATTACGGGGTTCACTCGCCTGCAATGCGTAATCTATTGAGTGCTGGTAAGTGAACCTGGAATATTGCATGTTAAGCTGCCCCCATATAGTCATGGAGTAAGCAATCTATGTAAACTGGGCGATCGTGGCACCTGGTGCATTATGAACTCGCGCTCCAGCTCCCTTCCCGAAATGATAAAGTAGCGTGGACCTCTGAAGGGTCATATAATTCGCTGGGATCCGTGACGGGATTGTCAGGCAGTCGTCAGTCGTCAGTCCGTCAGTCCGTCAGTCCCAGCAGTGGAATCAGTGGAATCAGTGCAACGCATGCGTGCCCCATTCATCATCGTCAGCGGCACACACTCGACTCTAACTCAACATATTGTTGCAACATATTTTACGTGAGGGGTTACCGTAGTAGCTCCACGCCAACCTCGATTCCCCACCTCAACGCTCCCAGGCTTCTGCTTGCGTGGGGATTTTTTTCAATTTTTGGCGAAAATTACATCATCACTTATGCTGAATGAGATTTCCGACCGACCGTCCCAGACTCGGTGAATTATTAAAAAATTTCTTTGTCAACAAATCACTTGGCACTGGTGTGCGGGGCGCTTCACTAAATAAGGCGTAGGTCATACACACAGCACATGCGATTTACATTAGCCGCTCCCTTCTATCAGAATGAAAATACAAGTACGAGAAAACCGAAATTTAAAAACGTCGCAAAGAAATTTGTTAACGTTGGAGGGTTGTTTTGCCAGGCCTTGTGAGGCGGGGCTGCGCCCCCCGATGATGTATGACGGCAAAGGTGGAAAATCGTTTCCCAACATAATTCTGTTTGCCTGACACCTACAACAGTCGCATAAATCTCGCAGCTCTTTAATGCTGATTCCGGCTGGGGAAGCTTAAAGTCCTCGTCCTCGTCCTCCGTCCGGCGTCCTCCGTCCGGCGTCCTTCGTCCTTCGTTCTAATTTTTTTTTGGACCCAGCGCCTGTGGCAGTCGTTGACAAATTCAATAATTTTTCCCATTACAAAGGAGACGCGGTGGTTTTCCTGGGCTTCCTTGGGCGGCGGAGGCTTGTTTTTGTCTGACGAAAGCGACCAAAATTGATTGACGCTGATTTGAGTGTGCGGCAGGGGGCTGTTGCAGGGGGCAGGGGGCAGGGAAAATCCCAGGCTAAATTTAATTTCGCCCCAAAGAAAAATCACACGAAATCGACACCTGCCGTGGCGCCGGAAAATAATCAAAATAAAATATGGATTTTCTTTGTTCCACGCACCCGAAGGCGAATCCCAGTTAGAGACGGTGAGATGGTCCTTGGAGCCGAGTCTACCAATCTGCAATTTGTCTTGCCGGATGTGGGGGAGTGATTGGGGGGTTGGCAGTGCGTGAGCTCGTGAGTCTTCTAAGCCGCTCGGCAAACAAGCGGAAGTTTCCCCACGATGCGTTAATACTCGAAAATTTGCGATAAAACCAGGCCCCATTCCCCACCTACCAGGAGATAATGCGGGGAAAGCCGCTTTCCAGGCGGCTTTGGGGGTCTTCATTGGGTAGGGTTAAAAGTTGGCTGGGATTGCCCTTACGTTAACAATAAGTGCGTTCACAGGTTTATGCGTCAGTTGGTCCAGACTCAGTTGTGAGACTTAAGCTTTGGGTTTCTACTTAAGTGCTTAAGAAATTTCCATCTGAGCTGATTGAACTAAACTCGATCTGACTTTTGACATTATCTCTGGCACTAATTATCACTGGAATCACCTGTTATTGTTGTTCTGAAACTTATCAGGTATTAGGGTGTCTCTTCGTAAGAAGCCAGTTCAGATGGGTTTAGTGCCGTAGTCCTTTCCGATCCATTATTCGCCTTTCTTATCGATACGAAGGAATTGAACTGGGTGGAACGGAGCACAAAGTTCGGGCCAAAAGTTGCCGAGATAAGCGCGGAGCATTGGCAGCGAAAATAATTTGCCAAGCGCGGAATGCGAAAAGTTGAGCGGAAGAGGGAAGCCCAGACCAAAAATTGCAGACACATTACCGCGCTTCAATTTCAATAATGTGGAACACTCGAGTGTGAACACAAACGTGCTCCGAAAACTATTTCTGGGCGAAATAGTTTGCCAACACATCTGTTGGCATCTCCGGCAGAGAAAGGCCAAAAATTGGTATTATTGAACAGCAATAAATTTGACTAGGAACACAGGAAGTGAATGTGGAGGGGTTGGGTATTGGGATCGGGATCGGGATTGGGAATCCAATTGGTATGGGCATGGGGGATTGTGCAAAACAAAAGCCAACTTTCAGACAAAAATGGGCAAAAGTTTTAATTACCCATAAAGATGTTGGTACACGAAACACGAACTACTACAGGGGGGAAGTCTGGAGCGGAAGGGATAACATGGCCTGGGATGGAAAGCCAGGATGACGATGGCATTGCCCAAGTGTTATGGCAAATGATTCGGTCTCGCCTCGTTGGAGGGCCTCAAAATGTAATCGACAGGAGCTGGCTGGCAGGTCCAGCAAACACTTGCCTCGTAAAGATCATAACGCATTAAATTGGCCCACAAATTGGACTACTCTCGGCCTGGCCCATTTTTCAGAAATCAATGGCCAATAAGTAGGCAACGGCCAAATGGGTTTCTGGTTTCTGGTTTATGGTCGGCCAGCCGCTGCTTCTATTCTTCTATTGTTGAGTAATCGCAATTTGGCAAGCAACTGCCAAGCATCCAACTGGCCAACTGGCCAACTGGCCAGCTCCTTTGCACTGTCATCCGTGGCCGGGATACACGCCCTCGAGATATCCTTGGCTGTTGTGTGTTGTGTGCCGGGCTTTGAGAAGTTAAGAATTCAATTGACCACGAAATCAAGATTATTGTACGAGCTCGAGAGCTGAAGTGGCAAAGTGGGCGGGGTGGGCGAGTGGCCTTCTCTGTTCTCTTGCTGGCCCCGGGTGGCGTTTTGAAGTTTATCCCTG